CTTGGCATAGGTCGGGATATGTTGGATCGCGTAGAGGAGAGGGAAATTAATATGGACTTCCTGACTCTCCTCGTTGCAAGTCTCTTTGTTCTTTCGCACCGGCCCGACTATGAGTGCAGTTGAAAAGGGAACTACGGGTTGGTTCACTATAGGCTATTCTTCTAAATTTTCCTTTCCTTTTTCATCCCCCCCAACTTATGGTCTCCTTGCTCATTTTCTTCTTCATTAACTCTCTTTTTCTCACATGGCCCCTTTAAAATCCTCTCACTCCTTAAGGTTGTAATAGCCTTGGTATTTTAAAGTTGAGGGTTCATAGGAGGTGGTTGAATTTGCTGTAGGGGAAAACTCGGTGGCTGATTTCTAGGGTTTGCAACCGGTTGACTCGGTAGTTGCCTTACTCCTCTTCTTGCCTGGCTTTGGCTAGCTGTCCTATTTGGCTCTCTAATCTATCGATGGACTGTTGCTGATTTAGAATCAGCTGCATGAATTGGTCATCTACTGTACGGGTCAGAGGAGGTTGTGGGTAAGCTTGATAAGATTGGACCGGTTGGTTCCTATGATACATCTGCTGGAATTGGTTCTGCCCTTGTGGGCTCTGAAATTCCTGGGCCATGGAGTTAGATGGACGGTAGTGCTGTTGGGACTGTGTGTAGGTTTGACATGGTTGAGTCGGTTGAATCCCAGGCTAATTACTGTACTCCCAGTGAGTCTGGGTTTTAGACTATTGAGAGTGCACATCTAGTAGGGGGTTTGTTGGACTTGGGCCCTATAAGTGAAGTTAGGCTGATTCCCCCTTTATAGGCGGCCACTTGGCCTGCCTCTTGTGGGGGGGAAAGTTCTGGTTCCCTCTTTTTCCTTTTTTCAACAAATAGAGGACTTTGTTTCTTTCAACGTTCCATGCTTGTCTGTTGTGTGTGACTTAGTTGTGTTGTGTTGTTTCTAGTTTATCTATTGCCTACTGTTGGGCGAGCTGATTTCCGGTGCTGGCAAGCTATTCGAATCTCCATTTTAGGCATAATACCGGTGCAGGTTGTCTATGTTCCACGCCCGGAGAACCATTTTGCCTTCAAGTGTCTCAAGTTCGTATGCATTCCCACCAAAAATTTTAGAGACTCTATAGGGACTTTCCTAGTTCGGACCGAGCTTCCCTACTTCAGGCTCAGGCATCATGATTTTCCTGAGTATTATGTCGCCAACTCGGAAGTTACGTTTTCTGACTTTAGAATTATAGTATCGCGCAACACGTTGTTGATATGTTGCAGTTCGAATGTGAGCGACTTCTCTACTTTCTTCTATTAGGTCGAGGTTAGCTCGCAATTCTTCTTCGTTCTAAAATGGTTTTTGGTTTCTGTATTTACGTTTTCTCTGTCAATTTTTCTCATTCTTTCTCTACCTATCGTTATCCCCCAATCTCTCTCTTTCTCTTTCTCGGTTAATCTCTCCTTCACTTGTAATTTCTACCATTCTCCCTTAGTTTCTCTCACACTCATTCTCTTGTTCTTTTTTTTTTAATTTTCTTATACACTTATATGGTATTAATCAGACCGTATAGAAGAGCATAAGACCAAATTTGGTATAGTTCAAAATTCATTACACCGATTTGATAAAAGTTCATAAGAAACTACTAGCTATGAAATTTACATAAACTTGATAGAAATTTATAACTTGATTGTACAAGTGGTTGGTCCCTTTAGTTCTTTTATACGGTTTGATTAATATTATAAAAGTTTGTAAGAAAAAAAAATGAGAGAGGTAACGGGAGAAAGACTGAGGGAGAAGGACATATTAACCGAGATGGGGAGTGAGAAAGAAGAATGAGAGAGAGGGAGAGAGAGAGAGATTGAGGTTTTGATTTGGCTACATACCAAAGCTGAGAGAGTGAGAGATCGAGAGATGACTACGAAAGTGAGAGATAATAGAGGGAGATCGAGAGACAGAGGGAGCAAGAGAGAAATTGAAAACCTATTTTCGGAATAGGCTTTTTTTTGTGTCTAATATGGATTAAGAGTCCCATGTTGCCAACAACCACATAAGGCTCTAATGACATGGCAGGGTTTTTTATAATTTGAAATGTAGAGTCGGCTATTAGAGTTTTGTTGGTTTTTGGACAAACCTACAACCTAATTTTAAATGTATAACCGGCTTTGATTATAATTTTTCCTTTAAATTATATTTCATTTACATTATATAAATAATTTTTACTTATCACACTAAATTTTTGTTTGTCTATGATATCATTTGACCCAAATCACTAACCCACCACCCAAAAAGAAAAATAGTTTGATTTTTAGGTTGACATTAAATTTTGTATTACATTTCCATCATTGATTTTTTTTTCTTATGTATTATACTTATTTTTGTTCAATATAATGAATGCATAATATTAGAGATGTACCCAATATTTTATTTTTTATAAATATATAACATTATATATGTGCCCAAAAATTTCTCTATCTTTTTTTTTTAAATTTTTATGATTCTTTGTATTTTTTATTTTTAAAAATTTTATTATTTGATTATGACATCAAGAGACACTATTCAAGGAGCCTTCAAGAGCCACTATTCAAAATTAACAATCATTAACTATTAACTACCTTTTAATAGTCACAATTTTTTAAATTGTGACTATTCAATTAGCCTTTTTTTGAACCAACACCTTTCTCTACTCCATGACTATTTAGAAATTATTTAAGGAGCGTGAATCAATCAATTGCACACATAATTTTCGAAATTCATTTGGTCATTCTCAAGTCTGGTCTGCTATTGTTTCACAGAAAGTTTTTCGAAAACTCTTTCAACTTTGTTAGTTGTAGATTCTCACCCAAGGCTCTGTTGTATCCTGGGAACAGATTTGCCTGTAAAACTGTAACCCAACAACAAACTCAATGGAACTGAGTGGGGGTAAATAACGTTCTAAAGACAGTATTTTCAAACATGCCTTAGAGCTTCTCCTCCAAGTTTCAGTGGCCCAAATTTCCAATAATAAGTTTATCCTTTTTTTTTTTTTTTTTCTAATATGCATTTCTCATTTAGGATTCCCATTAACGTTTGAACAACTTAAGTTCACACTTTTTTTACGTGGTTTGTGCTGATGCTTTGGTTCCTAAATCCTAAATAGTTTAACAACCTTAATCAATTTAGTGATAACCATGTTCTTTCCCATGCTTTGCCCCTCTCTCATAGGCAAAGAACTCAAACAATTGAGTAATTTCTAGGTTTGTTAATAGATTCTGCTTGACTTTCATTCTATGTTTTAATAGAACCATCCTCTGATTCCTTAATTTATTTTGTTTGTTTCCAGCAAAGGGGGTGGACTAGGTTGGGTTGCTATACATTTTTAGTTATTTTGGGTGTGTTAGATAGAGATTCATTTCTAGTCATCGTGTTTGGATGTGAAAGGTAGGCAGGTACTGTTTCGCTAATGTGTATACAATGCCATGAAGTTGGGGTTTTCCTTTCTAGCTGATCCAATTGCTAGATCACCCAAACAGTTCGGTTAACTTGTTTCTTACGTTTTAATTTCTAAGTCAGGGATTCCGATTTTCTGATTTAGAAAGAATTGGAAATTCTTGAACTCTAGAGACAGATGCATGCGGATGTTGTCGAGATCAATTTTGTGCTATCCATAAAAAAGACCACCGGGAAAGAAGTGATTGTAGAATTTTCCCTCATATTTATTGGATTCCCGATGGGTTTGCGGTTGTTCACAATTTTGGTTCAATCTTAATTACCAAGGAAGAAGATGATAAATAATGTTTCGAAAGGTAATTTTAATATTTTAAAAAATTTTAAGTAACACATGTATCACGTGATATACATTATTGACGATTGATTAAACAATAAATGCTAAATTGGCATGTTTTGAAAATTTAAGTATTAGATTGACACATTTTGAAATTCATGGACCAAAATGAAATTAAATCCAAAGTGAGATACTAATATGTAATTTCCTTAATTTTAAAAATTTTTTAATGTATTATCATCTATGGGCAAAATGAGGATTTTAAAACATTTAAAATATCACATCATCAAGGGCTCTGATATGCTACTCACTACTTATTCTCACATTTCAATCCAAAGAACATAACAGTTGCGCATTAGGAATATCTCCCTATTCCCAATACACGGCATCAATGTTCGGTTAGTACAGATGTGGGAGCAAGTGTGGGTAACGAATGCTCATCAATTGCCCTCGATTACCATTGATCACATGTGCGCCTCAAGAGAGTGCCCTACAGACACCCCACATGCACATCTCAACGTGCATTCGAAATGAAGTTGTGAGTGGAGATGATACCAATATACGGTTGGGATATGCTGTGGGGCGTTATTAATGGGGGCTTCCAAGGTCACCGGGAATTCGGGATTTCGGGAGCAAAAGAAAAAGAAAGAGGAGTTGAAAATTTATCATCCCGAAAGCTCACATGGAATGAAATTTCCGAAATGATTAAGTTTTTCCTTTTTCTGGTAACAAATTTCCGAAATGTCAAACCTAGTGTAGAAGACAAATGCTCAGATCTTTCCCTCTGCGTTTTTCTCTATCTTCTTTCAGAGAGAACCTCCATACATGCTTAGACCGAGGTTTTGTTTCCTTGTTGAGCCAGTGCCCAAACTTCAGACACATAATTCAAATTCATGGGTTCATGGTTCCAAGAGGGTTCGATCAGGACAATCTTCTTCTCAGTAAATTCGTCGAAACATGCTCCATCTTGAGTTTCAAGGATTATGGGTATTTGGTTTCACCCTTAAAACACAACCAGATGTTTATCTATATAACACCATGATCAAGAGTTTCTCTCAAACCGACTCTGCTAAAGAGGCTATCTTTTTATTCAATAGAATTCAAATCATGGGCTTTCGACCCGATACTTATTCTTTTCCGTTTGCATTGAAGGCTGTGGTTCACCTGTCTGCTATTGAAGCAGGAAAGGAGATTCATGGTCAGACAATTCGAACAGGGTTAAGATTCTAATGTTCATGTGGTGACTGGTCTAATTCAGATGTATTCGTCTTGTGGACAGATACATGATGCCCGGAAGCTATTTGATGGGATGCCCTTTAGAGATGTTGTCTCATGGAATGCAATGGTTGCCGGTTACGCAAAGGTTGGYGACGTTGACAACGCAAGGGTTCTGTTTGAGCGCATGCCTGAGAGGAATGYCATCTCCTGGACAGCAGTTATTGCGGGTTATTCTCAGGTGAACAGACCAAATGAGGCAATAGAAATCTTTAGGAGAATGCAGCTTGAGGATGTAGAGCCAGATGTAATTGCAATGTTGGCTGTTCTCTCYGCTTGTTCCCATCTGGGTGCTCTTGAGCTGGGGGAGTGGATCCATAACTATAYTGATAAACGTGGACTGTACAAGATAATTCCTCTTACCAATTCTCTCATAGACATGTATGCTAAGTCAGGAAACATACAAAAGGCTATAGAAGTATTTGAAAACATGAAGCATAGGAGTGTTATTACTTGGACTACAATGATTGCGGGGCTAGCTCTACATGGACTTGGYAGAGAAGCCCTTGAAATGTTCTCTCGCATGGAAAGAGCAAGAGTTAAGCCAAATGAAGTCACTTTTATTGCCATTTTATCTGCTTGTAGCCATATTGGATTGGTTGACGTAGGTCGCTGGCATTTTGATTGCATGAGCTCGCGTTATCRGATCACACCAAAGATTGAACACTATGGGTGTATGGTTGATCTTCTTGGCCGTGCTGGTTATCTTCAGGAGGCACTGGAACTAGTTCGGAAAATGCCATTTGAAGCAAATGGAGCTATATGGGGTTCTCTTCTAGCTGCTTCTAGAATCCATGGTGATGTTGAACTCGGGGAATGCGCTTTGTGGCATCTCATTGAGGTCGAGCCTGACAACAGTGGCAACTACACACTTCTATCTAATATATACGCAGCCCTTGGGAGGTGGCATGAAGTCGGATTGGTTAGKAAGATGATGAGAKATAAAGSAGTAAAAAAGATGCCAGGTGGAAGTTCCATCGAAGTGAACAACAGAGTCCATGAATTTGTTGCTGGAGACAAGTCACATCCACAGTCTGAATGGATATATAAAGTACTTTATGAGATTAACAAGATATTAARGATGACAGGATATGTCCCAAAGGAATGCAAGGGGTTACTTGACCATGATGAGGAATGAGGAAACAATTATGCGTCGTCTGACCGGCTGGGCTGCTATAATTTGTATAMGGAATCTAACTTATACTTGGAAATCTAAAGGATTTTTCTTTTTAATTTTTTTATTTGGGGTGGTGGGGCTGAGAAAATGGTTTCTCTTGAATCAAACGCCACAKGTGAATCGGGTGATCAAATTTAAGAGTTCTTTCGACTGTTCAGACTGCCTGGATCTGAAAGCTAGACTTTACTGGGTCTCTTGCTATATGATATTATCTCTAATGKATTTGATGTTACAAGTGATGGACCTTTAGTGCATGAAGGTTCTCAAAGACAAACTCTATCAGGTACGTAGTTAGATTGAAATGTTCAATGCTAGGCGTAGATATATAAATTTATCTCTAAACAATAAATTAAATGACTAATTGATTAGATGACAACTTACACCCGATTTTCATAGAAAATGAAAATGTTTTTGAATAACCTTCTGGTTCAGAGGAGACACACATACAATAGAGGGATTACGATCCTTATATTTTTAACTCCACATACTCTTATCAACCTGAAATGGGTTATATAATCGTATCAATATTGTAAAGATGGCATAATTACTTATTTGCCCCCACTACCTAGTTGGTGCCCTAGGAAATAGGCCTTTAAAACGCCTAGGCAGTTGACGTCACCCATGCAATGCTTCTCTGTTTTTAACAAAAAAACCTGTACTGATGTGGCCATTATGCTTGTAAGGAATTTTAACATGTAAGAAATTTCTCGCRAAGATGGCATATTYCATTATTTTCATGGTTTGACATGATAATTTTTTCTTTGCTGGCTTGGTAATAAGTCTATCTCTGTCCACTGCAGAAATAAGAGCTAATTTCAGCTGTTTAGGAGACAAATAAAAGGGCACATTCATGTACCACCAACTGCCTAAATCCTCCTTACACCATACTGTTTTTGGGAACATAATAGTAGAACCAAAGCATATGTAGTTACACATCCGTTAAYGTTTGAAATAAATCCAATGCATATTGACATGAGCCAGCAAGGCAACCAAAAGTTGTGCAGCTCTTGCATGTCCAACTTGTAGGCTTGTAGCAGAGTAACCTTAGTCATACACTTATTTTGGTTGCATTGACTACTTTCTTTAATTTTCATCATCCAAACATTTTTTAATATGATCTTGCAATCTATATCTATTTCCAATAAGCGTTTTTGTTTAATACAAGGACAATATGGTTGTTATAAGAAGCTGTTGTGCAAACACTATGGCAGAACTTCTATTTTGTGTTTGATTATGTTGCCACTATGCACTGTTTCTTATCTTGCTGATGCATGCCTTTTGTAGCTTGATGGAATACAAAACCGGTAACATATCTTTGCATATATCATATATTCATATATGGCACGCCAATATGATGAACCTTCTTTTTATGGGTCTAGGCTCCATTTTTTTGTCGATAACTGGAAATTT